CTTTCATTCACAATACAATCGCCTGATAATAACACTGCGTCGCACGGATATATATGCAAATCTGGATCGGATATCTCGAATATGTCTCCAGGTACTAAATCTTCGGATGATATTTGCCTCGCTTGATTATTTTAAAAAGAATTTCAAAATCAACTCTTAATAATATTTTCTCCATCACATAAACTATAAATTTCTTACGTAATCCACTGCGGAAGACGCGAACATTACAAATAAACTTTGACATTTCCCGAAGCCTCCTCATTGTCTGCGTTTAGAAGAAAGTAATCCCACCTTAGCAATATTGTTACTTTGTATAACAGTAAATTATACCACTGACCCGTTTTGTTTCTATCAATGTAGTTATGATACTTGTGATAGATATGATAAATATGCAGCTTGCGTAATAATAATATTCATCTAAAAACCAAAGGATCATCGAAAAAACTTGAAAGATGTAAAAAGGATGTAAAATCTTGAAAGTAGATAAATTAATAAAGTTAATATTGATAATTCATTTAAAAACCTAAGAAAATTAAATAAATAAATAAAAAACCTCCTCAAATAACAGCTTAAATGTGCTCTTTCCTTCGATGTCGATTAAATTTTTTCCGAAGATCATCTCACGTTCATTATATATTTCTCGAGTGATCCCTTTTTTAAGTGATTTCACCGATGTCCATGTTGGATCTTTCCAGTAGCTACAGTTAATTGACCACATATTAATTCCAAATGGTTTAAAAATGTAATGACACGAATTGAGGAAATGCAAACCTGTTTTGTAAAAACTTTCCCAGTAAAGGATTATAAATAAATCGGATAAAACGATAGTCAAAATATTGCAATTGACTTAAAATTTCGTCTGGAGACAACGAAGTGAGTCTAGCTGCATCATCGTCATCAAGCTGACTAAATGAGAAGACAGAAATAACAGTTCCACCGTAATATTTGCGTAATACATTCTCTATTGATAATTCGCCCCATTGATTCTATAGAGGACAAGTATAGTATTTATGAAATCGCGCGGGAATATACACCGCGATAAAATAAACCACAAAAAACCATCAAACCTCTACGACAACCCATTCTGCTTTCTCCATATCGCTAACATTACCGACAAGCCAAATCCACAGCTTGGGCATCCATCGAGATAATAAAAGTAAGACACCACCAGTCAAGACACACAATATATAATAAGTATAGAGACCATAACGATTAAATCTATAACCCGTTAAAAAAAGCTAAAAAAGAAAAAAGGCATAAGATTTCAAGGCGAAACCAAAAATATTTTGTCCAGGATTGGCATTAAAGATCACTAACATTAAGATCCTCTTCTTCCAGATAAATATTCTGTACCGATACAGCAGCTGAATTGTTATCTACCAGAAATTATATCATTAATAGTGGAAAGGATAGAATCAACTTTTTGAACGCATTGATACTTGATTCTCACCGAAGACATCAACAACTGCACGTTTATTGATTTTCCTAGATATTGTATTAGCTTTTTTCATCATATTTTTGTCATATCTATCCTCGGTTTCGTCATTATCCTCTTCTTCCTCAGAATTTGGATTCCGATCGACACCCAATTCAATATCATTGTCTAGAGATTCATTCATGATCTCCCGATATATTAATGTGCCTAAGATCAAGGGTAAAAAGTTGGTGGTCCATAAAACGCAGCGTGAGAATGGCTTCAAATCCGAAATCTGGAATAATTACCAAGGTTACGACTTGTCATCGAAGTTTGGGCGGCATGTGAGGCGAAAATTACTATAGATAATTTTTTTCTAGATATATACTGGTTTTTTTAGGACAGCTCAAAATATACTATACAATAAATATTTGTTATTTTGACAGAATTTTGAAAGACCGATCAGTTTTATTAATATAATAAATACAATTGAAAACATTTGATTATGCGGTATGTTTACTTTTCACTGTCATTAGATGCCACGATAACACAAAGATAAGATTTTATACAGTATATACTGTACATTTGATAATACTGATCCAAGCCAAATTTGATTATTATTCTTTTTTATTCGAATTACAATTGATAATTATATAATAATATAATTTAAATACAATAAATTATCATTTTCTTGAAATATAGCCAAATTTACACTTTTATATAAAAATTATTATATTAGAGTTAACTATTTTTTAAGTAGTAAGACACTTGTTGATATTATAATATAATAATTATTTAATTGATATTATAAATTATTGTTATTAAAATTTGATACTTTTTTATCTATTATTTTTTATTTTACAATTTATAAAACTATAAAAAAAAATTTATAATAGACTTTGATAAAGTATATGGATTTTTTTTATATGATATTATTCTAATTATATTATTATTTTTTATTTTTTATTTGATAGTTATTCTAATGAATTTATTATAAATAAATAGATATGAAATTATATAAAAACAATATCTAATACTATATATATAATATAAATATTTTGAATTATATATTCAATTAAATATAATAAAAACGGATTGTTTATTATTTATAATTTATAATTTATTTTTATCAAATTTTTTATTAAATTTTTTTTTTGAAATTGCTATTTTATTAAAAATAATGTTTCATTATTTAGATTACAGTATATTATTATAAGTATTAAAAAAATTACATTAAAAAAATTTATAATATAAATTATTATCTAGATTTTTATTCATATGGCAAAGTGATTAGTATTTAAACCAAATTATACTATAATATAATAATTTTTTTTAAAAAAAATTTCCGGTATAATGAAATATATATACAGCTACAATGGAAATTATTAACCTTTAGTTTAATTTATAACTCTCATAAATACGGTAATATAATTTATGATTGGATGTTTAAGGTTTTATAAAATAAAAATTTTAAAATTCACGATGACGTAAACAACCAATTATTGAATCACAAGACATTGTAATTCGAATTTCTAGAAATATTCTATATTAATTTGTCGACGAACGAAAGTCAATGTGCACATCATTATTCGTTTTCCTGCAAGATTAATCAAAACGAATGATTCTATGGTGCTTGTTTCTTTAATAATATAGCAGTTCTTTGTAATGCAAGTTCAGCTTCATTCACACAATCTTTGAAATCAATTTTCTTTGCCAATTGGAGAGCTTTTTCGTAATAATCGCGAGCTTTAGCAATGCTACCTGATATCTATTTTTGGAAAAAAAATGAGATTATATATTAGCTATTAAAATAGGAAAGAACATTTATTTCTTTGAAATTCGAACATACTTCGGATATCATCCCCAAGTTAAATAATAACACTCCACAACTCTCTTCACACTCTCTAGTGATTTTCTTTTTTGGCTTGAAGTTTTCCACAAATTTGAGACCACGTTCAGCCCACCCTTGCGCTTCTTCCAAATTGCCCATTCCGGTGAACACTTCTGATATATTGTTCATAAGGACAGCAGAATGACAAGAAGATTCAGGTGGATTGATCAAGGATAATGCACGAAGATAAAGTGGAAGAGCATAGCTGTAAATATACCACCATAACAGGTCGGCCCAGAGTTCAGTACAATTAGTAC